TAATAGATGGGCACTATATTTGCTCTTTTCCAGTCCTCTGGAATCTCTCCTGTCTCCCATGATTTTCCAAAGATGATAGCTAGAGGCCCAGATACCTCCTCTATCAGCTCCTTGAGTCTTCTAGGATGCATTTCATCAGGCCCTAGTGACTTGCAGGCATCTAACTTTTCTAGGTGATTTTTAACTTGTTCTTTTTTTATTTTACCTTCTAAAATTACCCCCTTTCCACTAGCATTCACTATGTTAGGCATTCCTACAGACTTCTCGGTGTAGACCGAAACAAAGAAGTAATTTAGCATCTCTGCCATTTCCAAGTTTCCTGTTACTGTTTCTCCCTCTTCACTGACCATTGGGCCTACCCTCTCTTTGGTCGTCTTTTTGCTTCTAATGTATTTATAAAACGTCTTCTTGTTTCCCTTTATTCCCGTAGCTAGTTTGAGCTCATTCTGTGCCTTTGCCTTTCTAATTTTACCCCTGCATTCCTGTGCTGTTTGCCTATATTCATCCTTTGTAATTTGTCCTACTTTCCATTTTTTATATTACTACTTTTTTATTTTTAGATCATTCAAGATCTCGTGGTTAAGCCAAGACGGTCTTTTGCCATTTTTTCTATCTTTCCGACACATCAGAATAGCTTGCTTTTGGGCCCTTAACAATGTCCCTTTGAAAAACTGCCAGCTCTCCTCAGTTGTTTTTCCTCTCAGTCTCGATTCCCATGGGACCTTACCTATCAGCTCTCTGAGCTTACCAAAATCCTCCTTCCCAAAATCCATTGTCTCTATTTTGCTGTTCTGCCTTCTACCCTTCCTTAGAATTGTGAACTCTATGATTTCATGATCACTTTCACGCAAGCTGCCTTCCACTTTCAAATTCTCAACCAGTTCCTCCCTATTTGTTACAATCAAATCTAGAACAGCTTCTCCTCTGGTAGCTTTTTCAACCTTCTGAAATAAAAAGTTGTCTCCAATGCAGTCCAAGAATGTATTGGATAGTCTGTGCCCCGCAGTGTTATTTTCCCAATATATATCTGGATAGTTGAAGTCCCCCATCACCACCAAATCTTGGGCTTTGGATGATTTTGTTAGTTTTTTTAAAAAAGCCTCATCCACTTCTTCCACCTGGGTAGGTGGCCTGTAGTAGACTCCTAGCATGACATCACCTTTGTTTTTAATCCCTTTAGCCTAATCCAGAGACTCTCAACATTTCCGTCTCCTATGCCCACCTCCACCTCACTCCAAGTGTGTTCATTTTTAATGTATAAGGCAACACCTCCTCCCTTTTTTCCCTGTCTTATCCTTCCTGAGCAAGCTGTACCTTCTATACAAACATTCCAGTCGTGTATTATCCCACCAAGTTTCTGTGATGCCAACAGTGTCATAATTGTACTTATTTATTAGCACTTCAGTTCTTCCTGCTTATTTCCCATACTTCTCGCATTTGTATATAGGCATCTAAGATCCTGATTTGACCTTGACTCCCAGTTTTGCCCTGATCCTCATTTTTCTTTGCCATTATAGCCCACGCTCTCTCCCATTTCTGACCCATCTCCCAGGTCTCCATGTTCTCCACTTGCTTGTGGGCTTTGCTCACATGGCCCCATCAAACCTAGTTTAAAGCCCTCCTCACTAGGTTAGCCATTCTGTGTCCAAATAGGGTCTTCCCTCTCCTCGAAAGGTGGACGCCATCCCTGCTTAGCAGTCCTACCTGGACTAGCACCCCTTGGTCGAGGAAGGCAAAGCCTCTCTGGCGACACCATTCTCGCAGCCAGGCATTCACCTCCAGGATGCACCTGTCTCTGCCCGGGCCCCTACCTTCGACAGGAAGGATCGAAGAGAATACCACCTTCACTCCAAACTCCTTCACCTGTACTCCCAGAGCCCTGTAGTCACTCTTGATCCGCTCAGTGTCACACCTCGCAGTATCATTTGTGTCCACATGGATGAGTAGCATAGGGTAGTAGTCAGAGGGCCGGATAATCCTCAACAGTGCCTCCGTAACATCTCAGATACGGGCCCCCGGCAGACAGCATACCTCTTGAGATGAAATGTCAGGGTGACAGATGGGCGCCTCCAATCGCCCTCAGAAGAGAGTCTCCGACCACCACTACCCTACGTTTCCTATTCGCAGTGGTGGCCAGAGACCTCCCAGCCTTGGGGGTACGGGGTTTCTCCTCCTCTGGTGTAGGGGGTGGTTGCCGATCTCCTGTATAAAGAAGAGCATAACGGTTTCCTAGTACTACGGCGGGAGTGTTCGGAGCAGGGGTGGAGCAGTGCCTGCTGCCAGAAGTAACCAGCTGCCACTGTCCACCCTGAGCCGTCTCCTCCTCCACCAGTGGTGTGTCCACAGTCCTGTGTACCGGGACAGCTACCTCAGCTGTCTCCTCATGAACGCGGTCCAGGAATTTCTCATGGATGCGGGTGCTCCTCAACCTAGCCACTTCCTCCTGCAGCTCTGCCACCTGCTGCCTGAGAGATTCCACCAGCAGGCACCTTTCGCATTGGATGATCTCCCTAGCCTGGATATCAATAAGCAGGAATTGCAATCCACAGTCCCTGCAAAACCATACCAGGATATGGGTAGAGGCATCCATGCTCAGGTGCTCTGTCTGGCTACAGGCACCGGTGGAGGAGACAGAAGCAGTCCTAACACAGGTGTTACTGGTCTTCCTGACCATCGTAGGCCTCCCTCTGCCAAACTCCCTCTCAAACTCCCCTGTCTGCAGCTCCTGTCTGCTTCCGTAAATATTTTTACTGTAAAGGGTTTACTGTTTTGGAATACATGGAGACACTGATGAGGTGACTTTGAACGTTACTTTGCAACAATAAGTTTAAAAAAGCAATATTTTTTAGTTTGTCATTTATCTCACTATAGGAATATATTATACCTAATAGCATGCCGAAATTAACAAGCTTGGAGAAAAATCAACTATTTAAAAATTGAAGATGAGTTTTGTATCAATTATTTTTTAAATGCTGACATAAATACTATTACTATCACAGATGTGTTGTGCTTTTTAATATTTTTTACACTGGTAAACTGTAAAATCTGTTTTGTACAATATATTATATTGATTTGGATATATGATATTGTCCAAAACAGATTTAACAGTTTATTTACCAGTGAAAAAATATTAATATTACTACTAATATATATATATTTAAATTATTTTTATTCTAGATATCTATGAATTTAATGCAACTTGTTTAATAGACTAATTGAGTCTAGCTACAAACTGAATTATAATTAATACTTGCAGTAATTACAGTATATTAACTTGTGGGACATTTTAGGATATGGAGGTAGAACAGCCCTGTGTTCAGGAAGTTAAACGGCATGTTTCTGATAACCGAAAATCAAGATCTAGATCAGCATCAAGGTAAGTTAATGTAACTTTTTCTAGCATTGAAAATATGTGCATGCCAGTTTATTTTGCTAAATATTTGGGTTGAGGAAGTATAGCTCCAAGTTTAGTGTGGTAGCCAGGGATGCAGTGATACTGGGTTCAGTTCCCTGCTCTTCCAGCGTGACCTTGAGCACATCCATTAAGGACTTGTCAAAACTGAAAATGTATTCCTATAATTTTACCACTCTAGTAAAATGAGGGCACACTTACTCAGGAATAAGAGTATGCACAAAGGTTGTGTCTAGACTGCATCCCTTTTCCGTAAAAGGGATGCAAATTAGACATATCGCAATTGCAAATGAAGCAGGGATTTAAATCTCCCCCGCCTCAGCATAAAAATGGCTGCCGCTTTTTTCCGGCTCAGAGCTTTGCCGGAAAAAAGTGCCAATCTAGACGCGGATCTTTCAGAAAATAAAGCCTTTTCCGAAATATAATTATTCATTATTTTAAGAGGAATAAGGGATCTTTCGGAAAAGGCTTTATTTTCCGAAAGATCCGCGTCTAGACTGGTGCTTTTTTTCCGGCAAAGCTCCGAGCCGGAAAAAAGGGGCAGCCATTTTTATGCTAATGAAGCGGGGGAGATTTAAATCCCTGCTTCATTTGCAATTGCGATATGTCTAATTTGCATCCCTTTTACGGAAAAGGGATGCAGTCTAGACACAGCCAAAGTGTTTATGGATAACTATGCCAGTAACTTCCCTGGTATAGACAGTCTTTAGTGTCATTACACCTCGCTTTTCCATGGGTAAAATGATCTCCTTAACTCACAGGAAGGTTTGTGTTGATAAATACATTTAAAGATTGTAAAGTGCTCATATACTACAATAATTGGGAGGTGGGAGGATTAGGTAGCTGTGATAGTTATACACTCATGTCTCTGAAATGCTTGAATGGAATGAGACAGCCATTCTGAGCCATCAGCGTCATATTTCTCCTACTCTGGTAGATGTGAAAAATAACTTCTCCATTTGCAGTTAATGGAGGAATCTTGTATAGACTGAATGTATTGATTTAATTTGATCAAGATTTCAGAGTTGACAGACCTACTTTTACAAAAAGATCATAGGATCTTGAAAGATTTTGGTGGGCACTAGGTTTTGCCTATCAGAAAGAAAACATGTACTAACAGAATCCTGAGATACTAGTTCCATACTGACTGAAAGCCACCTACTAAATTATCAAGGCCACTCTTGAGCAGCACTTTCCTTGGGGTTTTTTGGAGGGTTACCATTGAAATACCTGCTTGGCCTATGTTTGTTTAGTTTTAGATCATAGTGTAATGGAAGTATTATTGTTTGAGTACTTGTTAATGTTGATTCCAACTAGCTGTTAGCACACACATGCACAGCTGTCAGAAGGCTTTTTCTTTAGCGGTACCTATAAGCAGAGCTCGCCGAGCTCCGAACCCGGCTCTTCCGGGTTGTAATCTACTCGCCATGCGCGAGTAGATTACATACATTGTCAAGCCCTGCCTATAAGGTCAGTCCAGGCATGCCATGTAGTTACGCCTTCCTGATGCTGCATATAGGGCCCCAGCAAGACACCACTACTTCAGTTACTTTTTTATGGCCTGTGATGCTCTTTGGAGCTGCATGCCTCTTTTCTTGCATTGACATGCATTCCTCTAGTGGTTTCTATTGTTTCATCTGTAAATAGAGTAGAATTAGTGTTTTAGTAGTGGTTAGCCTTGTTAGTTTCTGTTGGGGGAGGAGGGCAGGATTCAAGCAATGAGGAAGCTGCTATAAAGTTCAAAGCCTTGACATCTGACTCTCCATACACAATTATCTATAAGGACAAGGTCCAGTTGCAGTCTCACCAGCCTTTTCTTCCCAAAGTGGTATCACAGTTTGTTCCAATCCAGGACATTTTCTTCACAGAGTTTTTACCCTAAGCCACATGCCAAAAGCTGGTGGCGAAGTCTCTAGTCTATAGATGTCAGGTGGGCATTGTCTGTCTATATTGAAAGTAAAAAACTGTTTCATAAATCAAACCAACTCTTTTATCACAGATGGTCTGGTAGAGCACTTTATAGACTAACAAAACATATAGATGGTATCATGAGCTTTCGTGGACTTACAGCCCACTTCACAAAAGCTCATGATACCATCTACATGTTTTGTTAGCCAATAAAGTGCTACCAGACCATTTGTTGTTTAAGTTTATCCTATACAGACTAACTCGGCTACCCCCTGAAGCTTCTTTTATCACAATAATGGACAGGATGAAGGGCCTCCCAGTGTCGTCCCAGAGAATTTCATCATGAATCTCATCCTGCATTTGGACGTTCTATGACTTCATTATGGTGCCAGCCCTGGCTTTGATACAGGCAGTCCCCGGGTTACGTACAAGATAGGGACTGTAGGTTTGTTCTTAAGTTGAAGCTGTATGTAAGTCGGAACTGGCGTCAGCTGCTGCTGAAACTGATCAGTTTCAAACGCGGCTGAATCTGGATGCCAGTTCTGACTTACATACAGATTCAACTTAGGAACCCCAGGCGTCCCCAAGTCAGCCGCTGCTGAAACTGATCAGCGGCTGATTCCAGGAAGCCTGGGGCAGAGCAACTCTGCCTCAGGCTTCCTGTAGTCAGC